GTAGATATAAGCCATATAAACAAGGGATTTTTGTTTCTCAGTAATCTCTAAGGGCATAAAAGTACCCTGAGACACAACGTTTGAGAACAGCTGCATTAGTGCGTGACACACACAGGTTGTCTTAGAAGCAGTCCTAAGATCCCAAGCAGCTGTGAGAGTGGGATGAGGACCCCACTCAGTAGCATCAACCCCTCCACGGGTGTTTAATCCCCCTAGTCTAATCAAGCCGCACACACAAGACACTTACAAAGTGTTGGCAAGTGAAAACCATTTATTACTTACAGAAAGCAGGTTACTTTTATTATAGATAATACTGACCACAGTAACCACCCAGAATCCCTTACCCATTTGTCCTTTCTCCTGCAAAACCCCACGCTTCCCTGAGTCGGGAGTCATTGCCTTGGTCCCACTTTCATTGACACCAATTTGCAGGATCAAATCAGTCCAGAAAAACCTCAGCTTCCCTTCCCTGATCAGTCTAGAGCTCAGCTGCTCCAGACAGCCTTTCCGCTCATCCAGACTAGGTCCTCGAGTACTAGCTGCAAGTTAGGGAGTCCACTTGACTCACCCCACTTTAGAGCAGCCCCGCTATTTCCTCCTCACTGCCATCAAGTTGATCCATAAATCTTTAAGGAAGCTGACTACCTCATCTTTCTTCTACTTAATGGCTGATGGGTTTGAACCACTAACCTTTTGGTTAGCTGTGCACATGTGTCTGTATTTAATCTACTTTTTATAACTTAGAAGTGATCAGGTATAGGACATACCTTACACTGAAAAGATTACATTAACATTAAAAAAAAACCTGTTTCCAAACAGAATCTTGTTCACAGGTATAGAGATTAAGATTCCAACACATACTTTTTACAAGAAGGGGGACACAATTCAACCCATAACAAGAGGGATTTTTTTTTTTTTTTTTTTTCAGGGAAAAGGCAACCTGACCACAAGCCCAAGCATGATCAGTTCTCCCTCAGAGCTCCCCCAGGAAGCTCACCCTTCTCTAGGTGTTTGTTGTTAGTTGGTATCAAGTCAATTTTGACTTGTGGAGACCCCATAGAAGAAGTACTCCATAGAGTTTCCAAGAGTTTTCAAAAAAGGAGATCACCAGGCCTGTCTTCTGAGGTGCCTCTGAGTGGATTCAGTCCACGAACCACTGTGTTAACCATCTCCTCCACTCAGAGAGCCTTCTCCTCTGGGAAGTCACTACAAATACTTGTGGAGAAGTTGTTGTTGTTGTTGTTGTTATGTGCCGTCGAGTCGGTAGGAAGATGCATTTGGGCTTTTCTTCTGCTTTCTTTTTTGTGGTGTGTTCTTGTTCCTACAGTTCAAATATATTTTCTCATTTAAGGACTTCGAATTTGCTTGAATTACACCAGCTTCAGTTAGGCCAACTTTTATGCTGAATCATTTCTTTCAACAACTGATTTTTTCAAAAAGGAACTATTGATTGATTCTTCAGGGCTAAGACAACTAAGCCATCCTGAAAGATCAAGTATTTACAGACTGAGGTAGAAATAAGCTCCGTCATGAACTGAATTCAGAATTAGAAAAGAAAAAAGTCAGCAGGAAGTATTAACTTGCTACCCAGATTGTAGTATGTCTGTGGACCTTAAACTAGGTGCCCCCAGGGCAGTAGCAAGGAACCTGTTAGCATTCTAGAAAGGAGCCTTTTACTTTCCTCAAGTTTTCAGGGAGGCTTCTCCTGCCCATTAAAGCCAATAAAAGGCATATAAGTGAATGAGCCCCGGATAATGGCACAAAATGTCTTTTAATATGTATTATTAATAGACTTTTCTAAATTAGATCCTGTACAAATTGTCCTCGGCTGTTCTGTGCCTCTGGTGGCTCCTTGTATGTCACCGTTCAGCTGGGGGACAGTGGGGACAGGGTAGCAGTAGGGCACAGGTTGGGAGAGACGCAGACCATAGCTCAGTGTGGTCTATACAAGGCAGAAACTGCTCACCACAGAGGCATAACTGACCTTGAAGACACCCAGAGAGTATCTGGGAAATAGGGAACTGGGAATAGAAAAAGATAGTCTTTGTTAATACAGAGCTGAGCTAGTTTCCAAAGTTTAATCACTTCCTTAGTGACTCAAGAATATACAGGTAAATATATACATATATGTATGTATGTATTATTTTAAAAATCTAAAGAATGAATGCTTTAAAGATAAAGTCTTGATACATGTTATGACATGGATGAACCTTGAAAACATTTTGCTCAGTGAAGCAAGTCAGACACAAAAGGCCAAATATTGCATGATTCCACTTACGAATGACATCTAGGATGGGTGAATGCATAGAGAGAAAGTCTATTAGTGGTTACTGGCAGTGGAGGGCAAGGGGTGGGAAAGGGGATGTCATTGCTTAGAGGACACTGTGTTTCCATTTGGGGTGGTGAGAAAACTTTGCCAATAGAAAGTGGTGACAGTTGCACAATTAATGTCACTGAATTGTACCCAAAAAGTGGTTAAAATTACATAGTTTTATAATATATATTTTACCACAGTAATTTTTTTTTTTAAGAAATGAAAGCTTACGTTAAAGGAGGCACTGTATGTAAGCACCTGACTGTGGTTTATCTGACCTATGTTGAACCCTGTTCCAGACAAGGATCTGAGGTTTTTCACTATCAATCTTGACCAAGGTTACTATGCTAATTATTGGTGAAGCCCCTATCTGTGTAATATCAGAACAATGAGACTATCTGCCAGTGGCCTTCCGTTTTTTGGTCTAGTTATTGCATATTTCCCAAAAACTCCTTTCTACTTCTGCCCAACATTTTGTGTTACTTGAAGTGAAGGAGACATGGTGAATGAAAGCATGTGGAATCATTTTTTAAATGATTTTTAACTATCAATTGACGTTTCAGGGCTGAGATAACTAAGCCTTCTCTGAAAAGTCAAGTGTTTACAGACTAAGATAGAAATTCCTTTTCTAAATATCTTCCCAGCTCCATTAGCCGTTCCATGCCTCTCCCCTCCTCTGGACACCCACCACCACCCAAACACCACCTACAAATGAAGAGAAAAAAGCAGGTTTCATTGCTTCTCTGATGAAAGGTCTGTATAGCAGAGGAAAGAAAAAGCATGTCAAGGTTCCTATGAAATACACTCAAGCACATCCAGAACAAATTAGAACCAGAGACGGTAGCTGAGGGAGTTGCTTTAGTTCAAGAGGAGTGTTCAGTATTTTTATAACTTCTCAGAGGGGGAAAAAGAAGGCAGAGAGAAGGGAATCTAACTAGAGCCTGCTGACCCCACACTCTCAAGAAATGGTTGTCAACAACGTTAACCTACCGTGGTTCTGTCCCACCCCCAGATCCTGCCAATTGTGATTTTCTTCAGCACAGTCATGTCGATGCTCTACTACCTCAGGCTGATGCAGTGGGTCGTTAGAAAGGTACGGGGCCCGGGAGGGGCTGGCATGGCAGGTGTAGAGCTGGTTATTTCAAGGACAAATCTTCATGTAGGTATTTCCAAAATGCCCTTCTCTTCCTACCAAGAGATCCCTCCTCCACCAAGTAATTAGATTCAAACCCAAAACACCTGAGTCAATTGCTTACCTGTACCCATATTATATACTCAATTATATCCATACTGTACCCATACTAAAAACCAAACCCGTTGCCACTGAGTGAATGTCAACTCATAGTGATCCTATAGGACAGAGTAGAACTGCCCCCACAAGGTTTTCAAGCCTGTAAACCTTTACAGAAGCAGACTGCTTCATCTTTCTCCTGCTTCATCTTTCTCCTGCAGGAAGCTGGTGGATTCAAATTGCCAACCTTTCAGTTAGCAGCCGAGTGGTTAACCACTGCACCACCAGGTTTCCTTCCTGTGCCCCAGAGGGGCTTTAATTTCAAGAACTTCTAATGGGACTCTGGCTTGAAACCTGCTGGATAGCTTCATGAAATCTGAGCAAAAGAAGTGACCCCAACAGGTCAGATACCTGCCAGGGGAAACAAAGACACAGCATCTTTCCTTTATCTTGGCTGGCCGCCTACACTCCACACAAAGCCCCTGCTGATCTAGAGGAGGCTGCGAGTGTGGACATGCTTGGTCTTGGAGTTGCTAGAGAAATCAAAGCAACATAGGGAATCTAAGCGAGTTTTATAAACACACAAATCAGAGTAAAATCCAAGAAATTAATCCCATTCCTGCTGCCCCAGAAACTGTCAGTACTGCTCTCATAAGTTAGATCAGAAAACTAAGACTTTGTATGCTAGCCTGGATGCAGGCAGGGCAGTGTTGCCAGGTCTCAGGCATAGTCTTAACCCTTTTTTGGATCTCTGGAGAATAAATAAAAATGTACCAGATGAGAGAGAGGGAGGCGGAGAACCAAAACAACAGCAGAATTCAGAATTGTAGCAAGAGGGCTCAGAGAGCGTAATTTTCATTTTAAACATTCAAAATAATTGTGCTTAGATCTAAGCAAAAAGAAAGAGGAGTTAATGCAGTAGGAAGGCCTCATTCTGAGGTGGGTGCTAAAATCTCTTGTTGAAAGGCCAGGGCAAAATTCGAACCATCCACCATATTCTTTGAATTAAGCAAAACCAGCTAAACCTCAATTATATCCAGCTCCACCACTACTTATTATGTGAATGACTTTGACAAAAATAACTGACCATGCTGTGCCTCAGTTTCCTGTTCTATAAAATGGGCATAATTATAAAACCTCCCCTAAAGCATTGTGTGGATTAAATGGGTCCCTTTGGACCAGAGAGTTAGTGCCTGGAATGCAGTAAACCCTGCCATAGTTTTTGGCAATAATTATCATGTATTACTTATATACAGCATAGCTATAGAAATGCATTTGCATAATGTTCAAAGTACATGCAATGAATGACTGAGGCTTACCGCTCAAACAGGAGGAGTGGCCTCCTGTAGTAACCAAATTCTAGGTCATCATTATATGACAGAATGTGAAGCTGGGTATTATATATTTGCAGCTTCAAAATAAATGGTGAGCGTTTATTTGAGTTGATTTGCCTACTCTACAGACTAGATAAAATATACTTCCATTTACAATCATCACTGGCTGGCCTCAACATTTTATTCCAGTTTAAACTTTATCCCTACTTTGAGGTTAGTTCTTCACTAACTTAGTCTCTTTTTCCTTGTAGGTCGGATGGGTAATGCTAGTTACCATGGGAACATCTCCTATTGAATCTGTGGTTGCATCTGGCAATATATTTGTTGGACAGGTAAGTTGTAACATCAAAAAAAAAAGGAACTGTTGAAAAGTATAGTCTCTTTCCAGAAAATAGAATATGGAAATAATAGAATGTTGCCCATTTCTTTTAATGTAAATAAAAAGAAGGGTGTGAAATAAGGAATTCTCTTAATTAGCCATGTCAAGATAACAAAGAGAGAGATATACCTTCTAAGAACCTTCCTGAGCTAGTGTAGAATTTGAGTCCTTGGAAATTTATGGAGACAAACGAGGATTGAACCATCTTATCAAAAATAGAGCTTCTCATTTGTATATTCTTAACAAATCTTTTCTGAATTTATTAAATTGTTGAGATCTCTGCCCAACCCTTCAGAAGCTAGGAGCTCTTCTGTTGAAATGAACCAAACACCAGAACCAAACTCACTGCTGTCAAGTCAGATCCAACTCATAGCATCCCCTCCTTGGGTTTCCGAGGCAGTATCATTACAGAAGTAGAAAGCCCAGTCTTCCTTCTGAGGAGTGACTGGTGGGTTTGAACCGCCAGCCTACTAGTTAGCAGTCAAATGCCTTAGGCAGAAGCTCACCATTTATTTTGAAGCTGCAAATATGTAATACGCAGCTTCACATTCTGTCATATAATGATGACCTAGAATTTGGTAAAGGCACTTGACCGCTAACCAGAAGTCTGGCAGTTCAAACCCACTGGCCACTCCTCAGAAGAAAGGTTGGGCAATCTATTTCCATAGTGATACCGTCTTGGAAACCCAAGGAGGGGTTGCTGAGTCGGGTCCGACTCAATGGCACATAACAACAACAACAACAGAATTTGGTTTGTGGTTTGTGGTAATGAAAGAGACCAAGACAGGTTTTCTATCAAAAACCATGCAGCTGTACACCAACTCAAGCTCAGTCTTGGCTTATCTGAACTGGCCAACAGTCTGTCTTTGCTGAGTCTGAAGAAAAATGCTGAAGAGATTTTAGGTTACACTTTTTACCACCTTAATCCATCCCTTAAATGAGCCTAACACTCATTTAAGCCAAGAAATATGATCTCGAAGATGTCCATCAAAGTAGCAGCCTGCCTAGGAAGTGGCTAGGTTGGAAGTGGTAATAAGATCCCAGGGTATGTAGCTTCAGGCAGAATGAAATCACACACTAAGGAAACCAAGTGTGAACGCTTGCCAAAACCAGTGCCCAAGAAAATTGGATATGAAGCAAAAATCAAGTAAGTCATCCAGAAAAACACATGGCCCCAAATCCCAAGGTTACAACTGCTCCAGGCAGGTAAGCCCCACTCACTACCCTGAAGCTAGTCTCTTTTTTTGAGGGGAGGGGTGGTATATTTCCTTCCCTGGGAGTTGAATTTATTATAATTATAGTCATAAAATCACTCCAGACTAATGAGGGCACCATCTTGAGTTGATTACTTCTACCTGCAGGGTAAGAGGGCTCATGTGCTGGATTTCCATTTAGTCCATAAATTGAGGCTCAGCACATTCAGTCTTATAGAACAATTAGAAATAATGACGGGAAAATTGTAAAATTACACACATGTTTCTGTGGTGCTCAATTTGGTACTTAATATACTAAAAGTACAGCTATTATTTATGGAGAGCCCCACACTGCAGGCCTCCTGCCCTCTTTAATGGGATCCAAGCCTTTGCAACTACAGGCAGTCACTGGGTTATGAAGGAGATCCGTCAGACAAGTTGCATATGGTTCTTATTTAGCCTTACTTCAGTGCAAGAAAGGGCTCGAAACTTTTTTAATCATTTAAAAGCTGCCAATGCAGCAAGTGAAGGTGATTGTGATGAAGAATTTGTTGCGAGTCAGAGCTGGTTCAATCATTTCAAATGCAACACAAACGCAACCATTGCCATGGAGTTGGATCCAACTCATAGCGAACACTCCTTGGGTTTCCAAGGCAGTATCACTATGAAAGTAGGTTTCCCAACCTTCCTTCCGAGGAGTGGCTGGTGGGTTTGAACCGCCAGCCTGCTGGTTAGCAGTCAAATGCCTTAGGCACTATGCTACCAGAGCTCCCAATCATTTCAAAGTGAGGGCAAATTTACATAATTAAAGGGCAAATAGGAGTTGTCTATAAATTGGATATTCATAACCCAGAGACTGCCTGTAAGCTCCTTCCACACCAAGAGAAAATGAGAGGGAGAAGTCTCTGATTCTCAATTAGGAAAAGGACTCTGGGCACCTGTACTTGACATTACTGCCATTTTTTGGACTCTTATTCCCCTGTGGTGTCAGCAAGGAGGCATAGAGCCTGTTGTGATCAAACTGGAATATGGGAAGTCACAGAGGCCTAAGCACCACCAGACCACAAGGCCAGGCCAGGCCACAAGGATAGAGTTCCTTGGCTGATGATATTACAACCCTAAGAAAAGTGTACCAAGTTCTCCATGACCTGTGTCATCACAGTGTCCAATCCTAGGCTAGGTGGAAGGTTTTTAGGACCTGGCCTTGCTAACTTTCCCAAATTTACATTTACACAGCCATCGGTGGGGTGGGTTTCCAAACTGGAGCATGCATCAGAATTACCTGGATGGCTTATTAAAAGTACAGATGGTTGGACCCCAGAGTATCTGCTTCAGTAGGTCCAATCATTTGCATTTCTGAAAAAGTCCCAGGAAATGCATATGGTACTGTTCTAAGGCCACACTGAACCACACTTTAACCAGCTGCTGTTGAGGTGATTCCAACTCATGTCAACCCCGTGTGTGTCAGAGTAGGAACTATGCTCCATGTGGTCTTCAGTGGCTGACTTGCCAAGCCTTTCTTCTCAGGGACCTTTGAGTGGATTCAAACTGCCAAACTTTTGGTTAGCAGCTGAGTGCATTACCTGCACCACCACAGGACTCATACCTTCCTAAAGTTTAAAAAGCAGCATTGAATGTAGTCACCTTTGTCTCCAGACAGAATCTCCACTACTAGTTCGACCATATCTACCACACGTCACCAAGTCTGAGCTCCATGCAATCATGACTGCTGGCTATGCCACCATTGCTGGAAGTGTCTTAGGTGCATACATTTCTTTTGGGGTAAGAGTTACAGAAAATTCAACCTCTTCTTTCTTTGCTATTGTTATTTTTGTCGTTGTTGTTGCTGTTGTTCTTTCTCATTCCTGGTAGAAACAAAGGCCAAGAATATATCCCTTATGCTCTTTATTTGGTTTCATTGTTTTGGCATTTGAATGTAGTGACTTTGTGGAAGCTTTGGGCTTCATTCTTATATCCCTGCTACCTATATGTGAGTTACGTTCAACTATGACAGATTTAAGTCATACGATGAGGTTACTTTGGCTGAACATTTTAATATGTTTATTTATATTTTATATAAATAAATATATATATATATAATATATATATATATATATAAAATTATAATTATTATGACAAGAGTAAAAGGTGGTCTAAACGAGGGGTTGGCAAATTATGGCCTATGGGCCATCCCTGGACTGCCCCTTGTTTTTATAAGTGAGCTTTTACTGGAAAACCAAAAACCAAACTTGATATCATGGAATCAATTTCAACTCATGGCCACCTTGTGTGTTACACAGTAGAAATGAGCATCATGGAGTTTTCTTGGCTGTAATCTTTATAGACGCAGATCACCAGGCCTTCCTTCTGCAGTGCCGCTGGATGGATTCAAACTGCCAACCTTTCAGTTAGTAGCTGAGAGCAAGCCATTTGTGCTACCAGGGACCTTATTGAAACAGAGCCACTCATATTTGTTTGCCTAGGCCACTCTTGTGCTAGAGTTGAGTAACTATAATCTATAAACCAAAAGTATTTATTATTTGATCCTTTACAGATAAAGTTTATCATTCTTCATCTAGAATTGGTTCTCAAACCTGCCTGCACATTAGAAGTACATTGGGGGAGTTTTAAATGCCCAGTGCCCAGGCTATGCATTAGAGTAATTAAATCAGAATCTCTTGGGATAAAACCCATGCATCAGTATTTTTTTAAAATCCTCAAATTCCAATATACAACCAAGTTTGAGAGTTGATGGTTTACTGTATAAGGCTAGAGAATGTTAAAATAACTTAATATGTACCCCCAAGCACAGAACTTAAAAGCCACACATAAATACAGACCCAATGGAGAAATTTAATAATACAGGTAACACAATGTGACTCAGATGACTATACAGGTAAACTTCTTCCAGAACTTTAGCCTTGGAGAATCAATCAGTAGAGAGAGGGAAGGAGAAAGGGCAAAAGATGCCTTGGGGGATTAGTACACCATGAGATCCTCGGCCTATATGACTATGAGACCAGAAGAACTAGATGGTGCCCAGCTACCACTGTCAACCACTCGGAGGGGGAATCTATGTATGAGATCCTGGATGAAGTAGGAGAACAATGTGGAACAAAACTCAAAATCATAAAAAAAAAAAAGGAACCAGGTTTGCTGGTCTGATAGAGCCTGGTGGAACCCCTGAGACTATGGCTCCTGGCTGTCCTCCAGGTCTGATATCGAACCCACTCCTGTGGCTTCCAGTCAAACAAAAGACAGGCATATGAGCTGAACATTTATATTGGGTGGATACACTCCTTGGAAAAATAAATCATGGGAGAATAGAAGGGCTGTGCATACACAGGGAGACAGCTCAGGGGGCAGGAGTGCATGGGAGGGAAGGACACAGGGAAGAGGTGGCTATGGGGAGGAAGTGGGAAGAAAGCTGTTGCATTGTGGGAAACTGCAGTCAATGTCATGAGACAAAATGTATGTGAACTGCTGTATGAAAGATGAATTTGCTCTGTAAACTTTCACCCAAGTCAGAATAAATTTTTTTAAAAAAAAAAGATGCTTTGAGAATAAGCAGTTTGACTGGGTCCCCCATGGTCCCCTTGGGCTCTCACTGCAGGAATGCTGCCTTCAGGAATGTGCTGGGGGATAGGTGGGATGGGAATGTGGGGGCAATTTATCAATTCTGGAATTCGGAAGATATAAGGGGTAGAGTGGGGAAGGCAAGAGCTGAAGAAGACCTACAATGAGGAAAACAGAAATGGCTTACAAATTAAAGGGACTCTGGATAAATATTATGTAAATATTTATTTCAGGAGAGTGAAAAGAAAAGGAGAGGTGTATATCCCTTCATTATGAAATACGCCATACCCAATTCCCCACACCTATCTAAACTGATGATATAATGAAATATGGCTCCCTAGCCAACCTTCTACTCCTCGGAAGGAAGGTTGGGCAATCCTACTTCCGTAGTGATACTGCCTCAGAAACCCAAGGAGGGGTCACTATGAGTCGGGGCCGACTCGACGGCACATAACAACAACAACAGTGGTACAACAGTGGTGTAGTGGGTAAGGCATTTGGCTGTTAACCAAAAGGTTACTGGTTCAAATCCACCAGCCACTCTGCAGAAGAAAGATGAGGCAATCTGCTTCTGTAAAGATTTACAGCATTGAAACCCTATGAGGCAGCTCCATCCTGTCCCACAGAACTGCTGTGAGTTGAAATAGACTCAATGGCATGAGTTTTGAGTTTTTTTAATTTGAGCAATGTAATAGTTAAGCTATTTGGCTGTTAACCAAAAGGTCAGCCATCTGAACACATATAATGGCTCCATGGGAGAAAGACCTGGAAATCTGCTCCCCTAAAGATTATAGCCTAGGAAACCCTATGGGCCAGTTCTGTTCTGTCACATGGGGTCACTGTAAATTGAAATCCACTCAAAGACACCTAACAACAACAGGGATTATGTAAATATCCATAAAGATAGTAGAGAGGCTGAGGAATCTTCTTTGAAAGTTCTTACAACACAAGATTGATTTTCTTCTGAAATGATTGAATGTTGGTTTTGAACTTCTTTCCTAGAATGTGTCAATTAACACAAATCCCTCCCTTCTCCCTCTGACTTTCAGAGCTCCTATTGTTTGGCCCATTGAGCTAATGTTGCTCTTCCAGACCTCCAAAGAAACACCATTATTTAGCATAGAATCAATCCCTGCCCCCTCTCTGTCTTCAAGCCTTTTGGGTTTTTCCTTCTGAACTCAACAGAAAAGCTAAGCCTAATTTGCTTGTTTTCTTCTGAAATTTCAGGTTTCATCCTCTCACTTGTTAACTGCTTCCGTTATGTCAGCACCTGCATCACTGGCTGTTGCTAAACTCTTTTGGCCTGAGACAGAAACACCTAAAATAACCCTCAAGAATGCCATGAAAATGGAAAATGGGTAAGTGGGGTACATTCACTTAGTTGATGACTACACAGGCTGAGGAAAGAATGCAAATTCAAAGTTCAGAAAAATTTTTGATAACCAGAGAGCCCAGTGAATGGGAATATTGAAGTGAATTTCATTTTCCAGTAGTAATTACTTAGACTTCACACACAAAAAGTTATCGTTCAACACTTGTAAAAACCATTTCTAATCACCTGAATGTCTATATCTTTCCTCAACATTCCATTGTGAATATAGTTCATTGTAAATATAGTATTGAGTTCATTGATCCTTGGTTCAAGACTTTTGCAAAGCCATAGAATGACCATTTCTGGGGATTTCTCATGTGATAGGGTAAGAAGGAAATCAGGTGTTTTTTAAGAGGGATGTGTGATATAGATATCCTTAACTTCTTTCTGGTTCATTTTCTTTTGCCCTGCTCCAAAGAAAGAAAGAAAAGACTAAGGGATTTTTTTGAGATTCATCCTTTGTTTGTGTGTAGGTGGAGTTAAAAGAATAAATGAAAAAGTGCTCGAACCTCAACATATACTTTTCTTCCACTTACAAAGTTAACAAACATGCAAACTTACCCAATGCATGATTTTGGGATACAAACACATAGGAAAATTGTAAAGAAAGGGAATGATATAGAAATTTTAAGGAGGCAGAAATTAGAGGGAAAGGGGTGTATCAAGGAAGAGAACACAGAGGGACTCAAAGATGATAGGACATTCCATTCCTTAAATGAGTTCACTGATATACAGGCCTTCCTTGGACCATTAGTTTCTATACCTTAGATATTTTAAGGAGTCCCTAGATGATGCAGTTAACATGCTTACCTGCTAAAAGGTTGGAAGCCCAGGTGTGCCTCAGAAGAAAAGCCTGGCACCTGCTATTGAAAACCCTATGAAGCAGTTCAACTCAGACACACATGGGGTTGCCATGAGACAGGGTAAACTCAAAGGCACTGGGGCTTTTTTAGATTTTTACAAATATTCTTAGTAGCCACATAATAAAAATAATTTTTAAAACCCATAATATTTTTTTTTATTTCTCCAATTTTTTCATTACAAATCCCAGCAAATATAATAGTTAGACACCCATATGCCTGTCACCCAGATTCAACAATTATACTTCATGGAACTCAAGATGGGAGCCTAAGAGTTTATCTTTTCATCTGAATGAGCTCCGGCTATGGTATTTCTGCCATGTTACGTCCATCCACTGACGCCCCTTGGTAATTCTGGTATTATTATGTTTTGATAAAGTGAGTCGAAAAATCTCCTGGAAGCCGCAACACATGGTGCGTCCTCATCCATCTCCCTGGTGGCAAATATAACCGTGAATCTGATTGCCTTCCTGGCCCTGTTGTCTTTTCTGAATTCAGCCCTGTCCTGGTTTGGAAACATGTTTGACTATCCACAGCTGAGTTTTGAGGTATAATTCTGACCTCCATTTTGTTTGTGTCTTTATTTTAAAAATAAAATAAGCTTGGAAGCAGCCTTCCCTTACCATCACCAGTATACTCTTAACGCATCGTACAAGCTTGTCCTGTATCCCTCACCCCTATTTTCTCCTCCCCTTTTCTCCTAATCACTCTCCTTCCTGATCTCACCCCCCCAAGCCTCCAGATTACTTCTAATGGCCCAATTCCAACTTAACCCCTGGTGAATATAGAGCAAGAGAATGTGGAGAGTTTTCTGGGCCTAAAAGGAACATGGAGGAGCAGTAACAATCTTGAAGCTGGGGATGAGGAAGAAGAATCGGAAGTAAATCATTACTCAGATATAAACTCTATACTTTTGCTTTTTGTAGGTAATTTGTTCCTACATCTTCATGCCCTTTTCCTTCATGATGGGGGTTGACTGGCAAGACAGTTTTATGGTTGCCAAACTCATAGGTTATAAGACATTCTTCAATGAATTTGTGGCTTACGAGAAGCTCTCAAGATTTATTCAGTTGAGGAAAGAAGCTGGACCCAAATTTGTGAATGGGCTGCAGCAATATATGTCGGTGAGTAACTAATTTGACTTATCAGTGCTTATCTTCATCCCATACGTACATTCATGGAATAAATCCACTTCCATGAAGTCAATTCTGACTCAGTGAAACTACAGGACATAGTAGAACTGCCCCATGGGGTTTGCAAGGCTATAATCTTCACAAAAGCAGAATGCCATATCTTTTTCCTATGGAGCAGCTGGTGGGTTTGAACTACAGACATTTCAGTTAGCAGCTGACTGCTTAACCACTGCGCCATCAGGGATCCTTCATTCAGCCAATAGTTACCTTCATATGTCAGGCATTTTGGATACATCAGAGGATAAAACAGACCAAAAATCCTGATCTCATGGAATTCATACTGAGCACTGTTGTTATTAACTGCCATCAAATTGGCAGCTCACACAACACCATGAACAGCAAGACTGGATTGTTGTGATCCATATAGTGTTTTCATTGGCTGACTTTTGGAAGGAGATTGTCTGGCTTTTCTTCCTAGATGAACATAACACTTTGTCATTTTAATGCATGTGTGTATAGAAACACAAGTAATCCTTACCACTGAGATCACTGATTTTTTCTAATAGATTTTATTTTGTAGAGCAGTTTTAAATGTACAGAAAAGTTATAAAGTACAGAGAGTCCAGAGTTACATTAAAAAGTTTACATTACACAATACTATGGGTTTTGACAAATGCATAATATCATGCGTCCACCTTTATGATATCATGCAGAATAGTTTCACTGCCCTAAAAATGCCTAGGGCTCCATTTCTTCGTCCCTTCCTTCCAGGCATCTTCACTTTCAGCAAGCAAGGTTGTGTCGTCTGCATATCTCAGGTTGTTAATGAGTCTTCCTCCAATCTTATGTCATTTTCTTCTTCATATTGTCCAGCTTCTCAGATTATTTGTTCAGCATACAGATTGAATAAGGATGGTGAGAGGATACAACCCTGACACATACCCTTCCTTATTTTAAACGATGCAGTATCCCCTTGCTCTGTTCAAATGACAGCCTCCTGGCCTATGTACAGGTTCCTCATGAATACAATTAAGTGTCCTGGAATTCCCATTCTTTTCAATATTACCCATAATTTGTTATGCTACACTGTCTAATGCTTTTGCATAGACAATAAAACACAAGTAAACATCTTTCTGGTATTCTTTGCTTTCAACCAAGATCCATCTAACATCAGCAATGATATCTCTCATTCCATGTCCTCTTCTGAATCCAACTTGCTTTTCCGACAGTTCCCTGTCAATATACTAATGCAACCGGTTTTTTAAATTGTCTTCAGCGAACTTTTACTTGCATGTGATATGAATGATATTGTTCAACAGTTTCCATATTCTGTTCGATCACTTTTCTTTGCAATGGGTACAAATATGAATCTTTTCCAGACAGCTGGCCAAGTAGCTGTCTTCCAAATTTCTTGGAGCAAGTGCCTCCAGCACAGCATCCATTTGTTGAAACATCTCAATGGGTATTCAATCAATTCCTGGAGTCTTGTTTTTCACCAATACCTTCAGTGCAGCTTCAACTTCTTCCTTCAATACCATTGGTTCTTGATCATATGCCACCT